TATTGATTGCTTACTTCAGAACAACCATGAGGGAGTTTTGCCTCACCGTTATTGATAGATTTCATAACCAAACAGATAGCGCCCTCCATCTGCTCAACATTCTAGACATTCTTATGGTAAACGTGTATCAACACATTGATTTAAAGGTTTTGCATCTACAGCACAAAAGCCTGCTTAAGTGGATCCCTTCCGAAATCATTTTCAATATGCAGGTAGTATTCATGGATACAACACCAGAAATGCTTCCCAACAAAATTTATGTAAACCTTAATTGTGCAATATTATAACTTTAAATCTTCAATTTCTCTGAGCAACACTCTGAACATTTGCTTTAATATTTACCTTATCATCATTATCATTATCATGATTACTATTTCTTTAAGTATAGTTCTTTTCTCCATTGTTTTGGTTAATTTTATTTCCTGGCTCTTCATTTGTACTTTTTCTCGGTGTTCTAAGTAATTTGTATTTTAAATTTGTAAAGCATGATAGTGTATGAATTATTACGCATCATAAATTAAACAAAATAGTCACTGAGTCGCTAGGAACTGAGACCAACAATTGGAAACCTTAAATACAACGAACAGTCAGAAAAAGGAAACAAAAATTTGCTTCACATGCAATTTAGGCAGCTATCTACGAAAGTTAGTGAATTAAAATAACTAAGTGAAAAAAACTTTGTAAGAGTGAAAAAAGAGAACTAGATGCTGCGCGCCATACATTGACAGTCATGAATATGTCCTTTGCAGATTTAAGAGATGGATATGGTTGTAGTATTGATAATCAAATTTGATTAAAAGTTTTTGCATCCATGGCACAAAGGCCTGCCTAAGTGGATCCCTTCCAAAACCATTTTCATAAGGCAAGTAATATTCATGGATACAACACCAGATATGCTTCCCAACAAAAGTTATGTAAACCTTAAGTGTGCAATAACTCTAGAAAACAAACAGTTGTCTATTTAGGAAGTAATCTTTGTGAAAAAATCCTTCTAGACTTATTAGAACTCAAAATCTTCAATTTCTCTGAGCAACACTCTGAACATTTGCTTTAATATCTACCTTGTAAGTATAGTTCTGTTCTCCCTCCCTCCTGGCTCCTCATTTGTACTATTTCTCAGTGTTCTAAGCAATTTGTATTTTAAATTTGTAGTGTATGACAGTGTCTACAGTATTACACGTCATGAATAAAAAAATGGTCACTGAGTCACTAGGAACTGAGACCAACAATTTCAAACCTTAAATACAACTACCAGCCAGAAGAAGGAAACAAAAATTTGTTTCATACGAAATTTATATAGGCAGCTATATATAAAAGTTAGTAAATTGAAATAACTAAGTGAAAAAATCTTTGTAAAAGTGAAAAAAGAGAACTAGATGCTGTGTGCAATACATGGAAAACAGTCGATAGCTAAGAAAATGAAAGCTGACCTTGATGAAATGACATAGAATCCTGATGAGGGACTTCAGGTTCCAAAGAACTACTAGGTAGTCTTTACTGACGGTCCTGCCACAAAACCAGAAGTGTCAGCGCCCACACAAGCAGAAATGGAAAAGTTTTATTTTACCACAGCAGTGGAGAAGTTTCTCATTTACATTGTCAGACAAAATGTTTTCATACCAAGGGATCTTGTTAAGGTCGCTCAAAAAGCTTTGAGGATCGTAGTGCTTATAGCTCCTAGCGACAACGTAAGCAGCCGGTGGCTTGAGCATCCTTAGATTTAACACAGCAAAAACTAAATAATGATCACTGATGTGAGTCTCTACTATACCGCTATCCACAGTTATTGCCGGGTTTCAAGTAAAAATGACATCAATCAGAGTTTTAGATGTTTCCGTCAATCTTGTGGGCTGGGTAATAAGCTGCTTCATATTCAGACTTGTACATAGGTTGTATAATGTTTTTGATTTAGAAGAACTAACGATCAAATCACAGTTGAGATCTCCGACCACTAGAATAGGTAGGCCATAAGCAAGCGCTTGCTTATAACGTTCCCTGAAGTCTTCAAAGCAGGAAATATCACAATCAGGAGGCTTGTAAGAGACGCACAGCAAGAGTGAATTGAGCGTTTTGTGCTGAACTTGCATCCATAATTGGTGAAAACCAGTGTCTGATATTCCGGATAGGTCTTTAAGTACTTTAGACTTCAATGTCTTGTGCATGTACACGCACACCCCACCACCAAACTCATTCTTTATGTTTCTCGTCGTTTTCTCGTATGTCTGTCCAGTCTTGACAAACTATATCCGTCAATTTCGACCTCAGTGTTCTTTACACTTGAATTTAGCCAAGATTCTGAAATGCTAAGATTGCATACTTCTTTTCATCCATTAAGTTAATCACTTGAATCAAATGCTCTCTTGTCTTCAATGATCGTACGTTCAAGTGTGCCACGATTATTTTTGATTTCTGAGAATTATTTCCATTGGTTGTTGAATGCAAGGTCCCATGAGAGGTTGTCTTAGCTGCAAAGATGTCGACTGGAATATTTAATAAGTTACTTTGGTTTGCACCACGCCGTTTCTCTTGGAAGTTTTGCTGACACTCTACACGAATAAGAACATTGATAGGTGTATCGTTTAGCCGTCGTAGGTGGTTTCTCCCACGTTGTCCTCTCCTCGGAGCGAGCAAGTTGAGATTCTCAAGAGTTAGCCATACTTGTCTTGATAAGGGCCGGTGCATTAGTCCATGACCAAGGTTTTTGCTTGTCGATTTCCAGCAATTCTACAATGAAAAAAGGAAATTTCTCGTATACATCAACAACCGCAACATGAAGTAGTTAAGATTGAGGTAGGTATAATAATAATTCCTTTTATGCCATCTTTCGAAACTGTGTACTCTTTCTCAGTCGTTGTGAACAAAAGGGGGTCGACCAAGTCCTGTGCATACCACTCCGTTCTAACATGTGCAAAATGGTCGTCATCTGGCAAGTCTTCAAGAAGTTTTACAATGTAAAACGTGCTTGTTGGCAAAGAACCTGGTCTACAGATATGTGGAAACAACACGACTGTTCCGTTTGGATGCAGAATTTCTATGTCTGCTCTGTCTTGGCCAGAATCTTCCCTTTCATTGTTGCCATCTGTGCTTGACTCTCCCAGTAGTGCAGTGAAGTCTACAGTGTTCTCCTCAGGAGGCGAGGCTTCGTAGACGTTCAACGGAAGTGTTCCAGGTTTGTCTTTGGTTGAGAAATTTCTTGTCGTGTTTTGACGGACACTTTTTCCATTGATTGACGCCCACTGTCGAAGCTCAGTGATCTGCTTTGGTGCTAAGGAACCCTTACTTGGCTTCGGTAGCTTCGCTAATTCCGAGAACTGGATGAGAACATCTTTCATGGACGGCTGCACATAGTAGGAAGCCTTTGGATTAGTAAAGTAGTTAAATTGATTCTTCGTTACTCGTTTGAGCAATTCATTTGTACATCTTGGGAAACGCCGGCAGAAATCTAGCACTGTAGGTGTGATCGTAT